GTGGTCCCTGGGGTGGTGGTGGATGGTGTCGTGGTCCCTGGGGTGGTCGTGGAAGGAGTCGTGGTCCCTGGGGTGGTGGTGGAAGGTGTTGTGGTCCCTGGGGTGGTGGTGGAAGGTGTCGTGGACCCTGGGGTGGTGGTGGAAGGTGTCGTGGTCCCTGGGGTGGTCGTGGAAGGTGTCGTGGTCCCTGGGGTGGTCGTGGAAGGTGTCGTGGTCCCTGGGGTGGTCGTGGAAGGAGCCGTGGTTCCTGGGGTGGTCGTGGAAGGTGTTGTGATCCCTGGGGTGGTGGTGGATGGTGTCGTGGTCCCTGAGGTGGTGGTGGAAGGTGTCATGGTCCCTGGGGTGGTGGTGGAAGGTGTCGTGGTCCCTGGGGTGGTGGTGGAAGGTGTCGTGGTTCCTGGGGTGGTGGTGGAAGGGGTTGTGGTCTCTGGGGTTGTGGTGGAAGGGGTTGTGGTTCCTGGGGTGGTGGTGGAAGGTGTAGTGGTCCCTGGGGTAGTTGTGGAAGGTGTAGTGGTCTCTGGGGTGGTAGTGGAAAGTGTAGTTGTCTCTGGGGTGGTGGTGGAAGGTGTTGTGGTCTCTGGGGTGGTGATGGGAGGGGTGGTGGTCCCTGAAGTGGTGGTGGAAGCTGTTGTGGTCCCTGAAGTGGTGGTGAAAGGTGTCGTGGTCCCCGGGGTGGTAGTGGAAGGTGTAGTGGTCCCTGGAGTGGTGGTGGAGGGTGTTGTGGTCTCTGGGGTGGTGGTGGGAGGTGTTGGGGTTCCTGGGGTGGTGGTGGAAGGTGTTGTGGTCCCTGGGGTAGTGGTGGATGGTGTCGTGGTCCCTGGGGTAGTGGTGGATGGTGCCGTGGTCCCTGGAGTGGTCGTGGAAGGTGTTGTGGTCTCTGGGGTGGTGGTGGGAGGGGTTGTGGTTCCTGGGGTGGTGGTGAAAGGTGTAGTGGTCCCTGAGGTGGTAGTCAAAGGTGTAGTGGTCCCTGGGGTGGTAGTGGAAGGTGTTGTGGTCTCTGGGGTGGTGGTGGAAGGTGTTGTGGTCCCTGGGGTGGTGGTGGAAGGTGTCATGGTCCCTGAGGTGGTGGTGGGAGGTGTTGTGGTCCCTGAAGTGGTGGTGAAAGGTGTCGTGGTCCCTGTGGTGGTAGTGGAAGGTGTAGTGGTCCCTGGGGTGGTGGTGGAAGGTGTCGTGGTCCCTGGAGTGGTGGTGGAAGGTGTCGTGGTCCCTGAAGTGGTGGTGAAAGGTGTCGTGGTCCCTGGGGTAGTGGTGGATGGTGTTGTGGTCCCTGGAGTGGTAGTGAAAGGTGTTGTGGTCTCTGGGGTGGTGGTGGGAGGTGTCGTGGTTCCTAGGGTGGTGGTGGAAGGTGTAGTGGTCCCTGGGGTGGTAGTGGAAGGTGTTGTGGTCCCTGGGGTGGTAGTCAAACGTGTAGTGGTCCCTGGGGTGGTAGTGGAAGGTGTTGTGGTCTCTGGGGTGGTGGTGGGAGGTGTCGTGGTTCCTGGGGTGGTGGTGGATGGTGTCGTGTTCTCTGGGGTGGTAGTGGAAGGTGTAGTGGTTCCTGGGGTGGTAGTCAAAGGTGTAGTGGTCCCTGGTGTGGTAGTGGAAGGTGTTGTGGTCCCTGGGGTGGTAGTGGAAAGTGTTGTGGTCTCTGGGGTGGTGGTGGAAGGTGTAGTGGTCCCTGGGGTGGTAGTGGAAGGTGTAGTGGTCCCTGGGGTAGTGGTGGAAGGTGTCGTGGTCCCTGGAGTGGTGGTGGAAGGTGTCGTGGGTCCTGGAGTGGTAGTGGAAGGTGTCGTGGTCCCTGGAGTAGTAGTAGAAGGTGTAGTGGTCCCTGGGGTGGTGGTGGAAGGTGTTGTGGTCCCTGGGGTGGTGGTGGAAGGTGTAGTGGTCCCTGGAGTGGTGGTGGAAGGTGTAGTGGTCCCTGGGGTGGTGGTGGAAGGTGTAGTGGAAGGTGTAGTGGTCCCTGGGGTGGTGGTGGGAGGTGTTGTGGTCCCTGGGGTGGTGTTCAAAGGTGTCGTGGTCCCTGGGGTGGTGGTGGAAGGTGTTGTGGTCCCTGGGGTGGTGGTGGATGGTGTCGTGGTTCCTGGGGTGGTGGTGGAAGGTGTTGTGGTCTCTGGGGTGGTCGTGGAAGGTGTAGTGGTCCCTGGGGTGGTGGTGGTGGAAGTTGTTGTGGTCTCTGGGGTGGTGGTAGGAGGGCTTGTGGTCCCTGGAGTGGTGGTGGAAGGTGTTGTGGTCCCTGAGGTGGTGGTGAAAGGTGTCGTGGTCCCTGGAGTGGTAGTAGAAGGTGTAGTGGTCCCTGGGGTGGTGGTGGAAGTTGTTGTGGTCTCTGGGGTGGTCGTAGGAGAGGTTGTGGTCTCTGGAGTGGTGGTGGAAGGTGTTGTGGTCCCTGGGGTGGTAGTGGAAGATGTAGTGGTCCCTGGGGTGGTAGTGAAAGGTGTAGTGGTCCCTGGGGTGGTGGTGGATGGTGTTGTGGTCCCTGGAGTGGTGGTGGAAGGTGTTGTGGTCCCTGGGGTGGTTGTGGTCTCTGGGGTGGTAGTGGAAGATGTAGTGGTCCCTGGGGTGGGAGTGGAAGGTGTAGTGGTCCCTGGAGTGGTGGTGGAAGGTGTAGTGGTCCCTGAGGTGGTGGTGGGAGGTATTGTGGTCCCTGAAGTGGTGGTGAAAGGTGTCGTGGTCCCTGGGGTGGTAGTGGAAGGTGTAGTGGTCCCTGGGGTGGTGGTGAAAGGTGTCGTGGTCCCTGGAGTGGTGGTGGAAGGTGTTGTGGTCTGTGGGGTAGTGGTAGATGGTGTTGTGGTCCCTGGGGTGGTCGTGGAAGGTG